TGGCCTGGGGCAGAGGGGCATTTTTCTTCCTCCTCCCCCTGCCTCCCACCTCCCCGCCTCCGTGGATAGGAAATCCCGCTCTGTCCCCCAGCAACCCTCCCCCGCGCTCTGGCTACACAGCCACGGGGCTTCAGCCTGACCCTCTGCCTGCAGCCGGCTCCCTCTGCTTTGCCCGGGCGAGCGGGCATGGAGGGAACCGCACTGGGACCGGAAAGCTCTGAATGCTTCCCCTCATGCCACCTCCTAGAGTTGCGTTCAACATTCCCTCCCCCCTGGGGTGCCCTGCCAGGTCACTGACCCCACGTGGGGAGGCGAGCTGTGGAGTGGCTGGGTGGTTCATGACAGTGGATCGGGTGCTCTTGCGTTGAGACAGGTATTTCATGTCTGGCTTGTGTCGGCTGTCAGAGAAGGGGAGGGAGAGCCGCCTTTGTTCCAGGCAAGGGAGCAGATGCATGTCGGTGTACGGCCAGCTGGGGCTGCACACAAGCAGCACAAACACACGTGCACACAAGCACATGCGCGCACTCCCAGCAAAGCGCACGCTGTGCAATCAGCTATCCCACTCCCCACTGGGTGAGTCCTCCTGGGCACAGCCCTGCTCCCAGCCCATCCTCTGCTGGCATCCCCCTTGCCGGCAGCTTGTGCGGAGGCGCATCTCTTCCTTGGTGCATCTCTGGGGAATAATGAATGGGTCTCCCAGGCTGGCACTGGGGAAGTGTGGCAATGATAGGGTGAAGTTACAGGTGCTGTCTGGTGACCAGGTCTCCCTTGTCTCTACTGTGCCAAGCAAGTGGTGGCCTTTCTGGTGCCAGGGCTCCTGGAAATCCCTGGAAATCAAACTGTCAGACAGCTGGGCAGAGGGAGGTGGTCCCAGTGTGTGCCGTGGGCTTGCAGGAAGTGTCTTGCAGACATGGGGCTGTGCACAGCCCATGCATGTGGGTGTGCACGCCTCCACTTTGCCATGCACGCAGACAGCACCCACGTGTGCATATGTGCACACATATGTGCAGCATTCCTCCTCCACAAACCATGGGAGAGCTGGGAGGCTCGGCAGGAGGTGCACCGCTTGCTCCTTCTTCCCGAGGCTCGAGGGTGGGACTCTGCGGTTTATGATGGGCTCGATGCTGAGCCTCCTCGACAGGCAGAGAAGGGGGGAATCTCTGTGTCTGTGGGACCTGACCTGCTGGGGCAGGGCTGGAGCCATGAGGAATGGCCCTCTATTAGAGGTAAAATACAGGGAGCAGGTCCTCACTGAGGAGGACGATGAGTTGAAAGAGGTGGGCTGCACCTGGGCAGAGCCTGAGCAGCCAGGGCTGAGGGCTCCTCAGGCTCCAGAGGATGAGTGCTCACAGCTCGGGGAACCGGGCTCAAGGCAGTGCTGAACCAGGCAGGATGCACAGAATCACAGGATAGCAGGGGTTGGAAGGGACCTCGGGAGAACATCCCGTGCCAGGGCTGGGAGACACAGCTGGGCACAGCTGACATCAGCCCTGGGGACTCACTGAAATGGCACAGCCCCAGCCCCTCCTGCCTCCAGGCTGCTGGTTTTGGGACATGTTCAGGGCCTGGGTGGGTGGGCCAGGTCTAGGAGGGGTTCTGCATCCCCCAGCCCCTCAGCCCACTGAGAGCCCCCTGGGTTTCCTTTGCAGATGGGCTCTTTGTGACTGACTACTTCACCCGCACACCACGCAAGCTCAGCCCCTTCCGCTCCTTTGCCAGCATCGAGCTCTTCCACTTCCACATCCCCGAGGACACAGTCATCGCCGTCTGGAACCTCATCACCTTCAAGGAGCAGGGTGGCACCTTCGGGGACCAATGCCCAGACCGTAGCATCACCGTGTGAGTAAGCAGCCTGCCCTGTCCCCTTCCTGCCTGCCTCTGCCTGCTCCTGCTGCCCCCTGCCTGGACTTGCCCTGGAGCCTGCCTGCTTTTGTCTGCTTCTTGCTTGCACGTGCACATGTGCATGTATGTACATTCATGCAGACATATAGAGGAGCACTCATGCACGTACACGCATATGCAGGCACACACATGTGCACAGAGGCGTATATGCACATACATGCACACACATACACGCCACACACATACCATGCATGCTCACTCCCCATGATTCATCTTCCCAGGACCATTGCAGGCTCTACTCTTTTGCGCATCTCGTACATGAATAGTTTTGCTTGAACACCCACCCAGGGAAGCTCACAGTCTCCAGCGAGGTCCCACCTTACAGACAGCTTCCCCCTCATGTCTTTGAGCTTCTTAATAGCTTGGAGGACAGACCCTGACGTGTAGGGCAGGCTGGCCTGCACCCTGCTAACTGCTGTCTCTCCTGCAGGTATTTCCGCTCAGGGGCTCCCTCCGTCATTAACCCGCTACACACGCACTTCCCCAGGGACACGGCTGTCCCTGGCTCCTTCGCACTGACCCTCACCTGGACCCTGCCCAACCGCACCACGGGGGTGTTCAATGTCACCAGCCCACTGCCTGGGGACTGGTTCCTGGCTGCCCACCTGCCCAAAGATGAGGGCAAGATCTCTGTCAAGGTGAAGGGCTTGGGGGGACCGTGGGGTGGCAGGGCTTGCTGCAGGGCTCTGCTGGGGTCTGATGGTTCTGGGCTGGCAGTGCCCAGGGCAGGCTTCCCAAGTTGGGACAGTGCCCCATGCCCCCTGCCCTGTGCTGACTGTCCTGCTGGTGCAGGGGCTCTACGAGGAGTGCCAGTATCTCTTCCAGCCACAGCTCATCGTGCAGCGCCTGGTGAACATTGCCGTGCTGTATCCTGGTTACGTCACCGAGCAGAGCATGGCCCCCCACAACCGTTCCTGCCTCTACAAGTGAGTGCAAGAGGGTCTCCTAAGGAAGGGGCATCCCCAGGGTGGGAAGCTTAGGGTGCCCCATCCCTCTGGCTTGCCTCCCCAGCCCTCTTGGTCCACACCGAGGGGCAGAACCTGACACTGCTGTCCCACAGGGTGTTTGTGCCCAGCTACACATCGCGTGTGCTGGTGGAGGTGCTGCGGTGCCGTGGGGCTGAGGGCTGCCCCCTCTGGCTGCGCGTGCGGGCCAAGGCTCCCCCCCTGCACAACTCCACGGCGCTGGACTGCCGGGAGCACACTCCCTGCCAGTTGGCACTGGACCTGCCCTTCTGGCAGCACTGGTACTACGTGCTGGTGGAGAAACACCCTGGGGTGCCAGGCACCGTCTCATTCCAGGTCATCGTGCAGCTCACAGGTTAGGGGGCACAGGGAGGACTGGGTGGTGGGGGCATGCTCTTGACTCTGCTTGGGTGACTGGTGGGGTGGTAAAGGATGCCCACAGGATCTGGCCCCAGCTGGGCGCAGAGTTATACCCAGTTCTGCTGGGATGGGGACACTGGGAGGTGTTGGAGCTGGGCTGCAGATGAAAGTGGGCAATGGGCAAGAAGGGGAGGTGGGAACTAAGAGGGGGCTGGAGGAGCCGTTTGGTGCCCAGGCTGATGGCTCTGCCCCTCAGACTGCTCCCGACCAAGCCTGGCCCGGCCACCCTTCCTGCCCTCCAGTGCTTCCATGAACATGCCCCACTCCTTTGGCTCTGTGGGCGGGCTGGCGCTGGGGGACAGCTCTCCGCCCACCAGCCCCAACGGCACGAAGCACCCGGTCCCCATCCCCACCGCCTCGGCTGCTGGTGAACGGTGTTGGCCAGTCCGCCCCACGCTGCGCAATGAGCTGGACACCTTCTCCGTCCACTTCTACATCTTCTTCGGGCCCAACGTATCCGTGCCGCCTGACCGCCCCGCTGTCTTCGTCATCAACCTCCTGCCAGTGCTGGACAGTGGTGGGGTGCTCAACCTGGAGCTGCGGCTCAATGTGGTGAGGTGGCCGCGCTGCACCCCAGATGGGGCAGAGCAGCTGGGGGGGAGGATGGGCTGGGGGTTGGGTGATGTCGGGGCTGCAGCAGGGCTAGGGGCAGGCTTTGGGGTGCTCTTGGGTCATGGTTTGGGATCTCTTGGATGATGGAGCACGGATTCGGGTGATCCAAGGACAGGATGATGGCCTGGATTTGGGGTGTTCTTGGGTGATGGGCAGTGGGCTAGGGCACTGCTAGCTAGTGTGCTGTGGTCTGGGTGCTGTCGGAGCAGGGGACATCCCCGGCACTGGTTCAGGGCCATCTCCTTCTCTGCTGTCAGAGCTCCCTGTGTGGCGAGAACGTGACAGTATTCGGCTGTCTGAACCACGAAGTCCCGCTGATGTCTGGTGACAACGCATCGGTCACCTGTGAGACAGGTAGGCTGGGCTGTGCGTGTCCATCCTGCCGTGGCCGTGGGGGTTGCACCCCTTCACGTGTCCGGCGAGAGGCTGAGTGGGAGAAGGCAGAGATCGTGGGGGAATTTGGCCCCAGAGCCTGGCACAGGGCACGCTGTCCCAGCTGTGGCCAGGGGAAGGGGCTCCCCCCTGCCCTGCTCACCCGGAGCTCTCCCTGCCCGCAGAGTCCCTGGCAGGCTTCCTGCTCTCCGTCAATGCCACGGCCAGCCTCAGCCGCCTGCGGATCCCTTACCCCCAGACGGGCAGCTGGTACCTGAGCCTGCGCTCGCTCTGTGCCACGGAGCATGGGTAAGAGCCCCCGCATGTCCCCTCCCTGCGTACCCGGAGGGGATGTCCCCACCATGGCCTGCTTCCATGTGCACCGTGGGTCTGTGGGTATGCCTGGCCCCTGCGCTGCCTGTCACCCGTCACACATGTGCACGTGGCTTCGCGGGCTGTGTGTCACCGTGTGAGTGCCTGCGTGGGCACGGATGGCTCTATCTTGTGCCTGCCTGACCATCTGTGGGTCCCCGCAGCTCTTCCCTCTGTCTCTCGGATGGGAAGCGCCTGTCAGCTTGCGAACGCCGTGCATCTGTTGGTGCCTGCCCGTCTCTGCGGCAGGGCCCATCTGTACCCGTGCCCGGGAGGGGACCGGGCTGTCACTGCAAGGACAGGGCTTGGCTGTGCATCTGAGGGGGCAGCTCTGGTCAGGCTGCTGTGCCCTTGCTCTTCTCAGCATCTCCAGGGGCTCTGCTCAGCATCTCCAGGAACTGGTCCTGTGTCTGTGGCTCTGTTCCTGGACCATGTGTCTGCCTGAGAGCCCTGTGGAGGAGAGGGGCTGTTGTGTGCATGTGTCTGTACATGCAAAAGTCCATGTGGGGCTCTGTATTGTGCAGGTGGTGCTGTGTGCATGTTCAGTGCATGCATGCAGACTGCACCAGGTGTTCGGTGCATGCATGCAGATGGTGCTGCATGCACATTTGGCGCATGCGTGCAGACAGCATTGCATGCATGCTTGCGTGCACACACGCAGACAGCTCTGTGTGCGTGTTCAGGTCTGTGCAAATAGACAGGGCTGCGTGTGATCTGTGTGCACGTGTGCGCAGATTTGACTGTGTGAGCACATGCAGGGACAGCAGACACCCCTGCAGACACGCACCGTGCATGTGTGCAGGCGGCGCTGTGTGCATGTTTGTGCATGTTGGGGTGCCCGTGTGTGCACAGGCAGCAGTCGGCGTGTGCTGTCGGGACGTGGGCTGGTCTGTCTGTGCTCCTGCGTGCTGGAGCTGCTGAGGTGCTGGGTGTGCCCAGAGCCGTGTGTGGGCAGTGCGGGGCAGCGAGGGTGCTGTGCCTCCTCTGACTCTTCTGCTGCGTTTCTAGCTCAAGCTGAGTTGCCAGTTGCAGGTGATCCTTCCCTGACATGGTCACTTGCAGGCATTGCAGGGCACAGTGTTTGCACAGCAAAATCTATATAAAATAGGAGCCAGCTGAGTGCGTTGCTAAAGGCAAAATGGGTCTAAGCATGGCCACATTTCTCTTGCTCACCCAGCCTGGCACAGACATTGGCAGCACACAAGGTGCTTGGGGACCAGCTCTCAGCTGCCATACGTAGCACCAAAGCAGCTCATTTCCACGTCACCCAGTCCCTGGGTCTCCCATCACCTGCCAAGTCTGGGTGTGATGGTGCCTCTGGCGGAGGCAGGAGCTGCTTGAGAGGTGCAGAGCAAGGGCTGACCCTCTTCTCCTGGTGCAGGTTCGAGCCTTGCACCAACGTGACGGCTGAGGTGTACCTGCGTGCCTACCTCTCGCCCTGCATCAACGACTGCGGCATCTATGGCCAGTGCAAGCTGCTGCGCACCAACAACTACCTGTATGCTGCTTGCGAGTGCAAAGCTGGTGAGAGCTGCCCCGGGCACCCACAGTCCCTGCTGCACCCAGGGACCCCCCCAGCACCCTTCCCTCCTCCCCGGGGGTTGTGCACCCCATTAGTACCCTGCACCAGCTCTCCGCAGGGCGCTGGAAAGGGGCTTCCCCACTCCCTCCCCAGCCCCTGCCAGTGCTGCAGGGGTGACGGCAGCTCTGCCCGGCCACAGGCTGGAACGGCTGGGGCTGCACAGACAACGCCGAGGCTTTCTCCTACGGCTTCCAGCTCCTCTCCACGCTGCTGCTGTGCCTCAGCAACGTCATGTTCGTGCCTCCCGTGGCCATCGCCGTCCGCAGCCACTACCTCCTGGAAGCTGCTGTCTACATCTTCACAATGTTCTTCTCCACCGTGAGTGTGGGGTCGGCGTGGTTGGGGGGGGCAGGTGAGGGGCCGGGGCTGTGCGGGGCGGCTTTGACACCCTTTGCCCCTCCCCGCCCCCAGTTTTACCACGCCTGCGACCAGCCAGGTATCGTGGTGTTCTGCATCATGGAGTATGACGTGCTGCAGTTCTGCGACTTCCTGGGCTCCCTCATGTCCGTCTGGGTCACCGTCATCGCCATGGCCCGGCTGCAGCCTGTGGTCAAGCAGGCAAGTGCACGGAGGGGGCAGGGAGGGGAAGGGAGGGGACCCATCCTGATGGGTCCCCTGCTGCCCCACAGGTGCTGTACCTGCTGGGGGCCATGCTGCTCTCCATGGCTCTACAGATGGACCGCCATGGGCTCTGGAACCTGCTGGGGCCCAGCCTCTTCGCTTTGGGGATCATGGCCGTCGCTTGGGTAAGGAGATGCTGTCCCTGTCTTATGTCCCTATCCCAGCTGGACTCAGCGTCCTGCCCGGCTGTCCAGCCCCACTCCCCTGCCAGCATCCCCCCTCTGCTGCCTTCAGCTGTCCCCATGAACCACCTTCCCTGACTGCTGGGGCATGTGGCACCATGGCACAGGGGCCACGCTCGTCCCTGCCGGGGCTGCCTCTTCCATCCCCAAATTTCTCCACTGCAGACGGCTCGCACCATCCGGCGCCGCCACTGCTACCCACCGACCTGGAAGCGCTGGGCTTTCTACCTGTGCCCCGGAGCGCTGATTGCAGCGGCTGCTGTGCTGCTCTATGCCTTCGTGGAGACGGAGGAAAACTACTTCTACATCCACAGCATCTGGCACCTGCTGATCGCCGGCAGCGTCGGCTTCTTG